CCATATATATGTATGTGTATGTATATAAATATATATGTATATGTACATATACACATATATTTATATAATTCCAGAGTTTCAGGTTTCTCATACATCATAATGGGCATATATGGTTTGATTTAATGCTTTTTATCTTTATGTAGTTTTGGCGTGAATATAATCAACTGCATTTCATTACCATTTCCTGATTCATTAAATAATTGTCGGAATTTCGGGGCATTAAAATTTTTATTTTTGAAATGAGCATCTTTCTTGCAGGGAAAACAGTTAACATGGTATGCTTGTGCTGTTTATTTTTCGATGTGGCAAGGGAACCTATTTGAACATGCGGTACCAAAGAAATATTCGTTGGCTAAACTTCTTAGAATTTGTAAAATCAGGTATCAATTATTGTGGATGTTATCTTGCTTAATGCATTTTACCTCTTTCACAGGACCAAAAATTTGAGTTTCTAAGGTCTTACTGAGAATTGTATGCTTCCCATGGTGAAAGAAGTTATCTAATATGTTCAGCAGTTAGAAATTCATACACTCCTTTGCCAAATTAATCTTGCAATATAATTGCTTTGGATACTTAGCTTTGATCAAACTCTTTAATATTTCATTACATGTAGTGTGCTTGAATTCTTTGACAAAGCGACCAAATGGGTGGAAATGATTAATGGGCCGCGCCGCTTGAAGGATCATATCAATCGAGTGCAGTCGTCCCTTGCAGTTGCAGCGGTTGTTTTCAAAAAATTATTACCAATTTTCCGGAAGATATTTGCACCGCCGTGCAGTAATGATGATGATAATTCAAAAGATCTCAATTGCAAGAAGCTGTTTACTCTGCTGTGGACATTATTTATTGTAATGCGAAGTTAGTTTTCGAGTTTCTGATTGTTCAATTTCGCTTTTTTTTCTTGTCGAATTGTTTAAAGAACAGAAATGATTAGATTGAAAATGTGGGGAAGTTATAGTATTATAGTTTTTTTCGACAAAGTCTTTTTTCTCTGAAATACTAGAAATAGTGGTCTTCGATAAAATTCAACTTGATTATAATAACACTGGATGTCTTATTTGTCACGTCTTCAAGAAAGTTGATTACGCTAGTCAATTAAGTAAGCTTAGTCTTTGGATGTCGATGCTTGATCATCAATTGGTTAAAATGGCTTGATCATAGTCATATGCGGAGTGTAATCATATGCTGATTTAACGAGACGTCCGATTATGAATGTTCAAGTATATCCTAGTCGGGGCAGTAATAATCATAACTATGCAGTGGCTTAAATTTATTTTGCTATATTTTCCAACGAAAGTAATGTTTGTAGAGCAATTTAACAGCGATGACTTGATGAACAGCTTTCATCTTCTGCTTTGTACAGTTGACTTTATCTTTCAAGACCTCCGACGTTCCGAAATGGCTTCCTTATTGGATGGCGATTTCAGTAAGCTTCTTTTTTAAAGAAATTTTAACGGTTTTATTGTTCCAATAAGCAACTTTCCATTGATGGATTTCGATTATAATTATTTGACTTTCGTGCACAATCCTTCTTCGACTTTTTGTTCTCTTTTACATACATGCGGTCATATTTGATATGTGTTTTGTTCACATCAGGAAGATGTACCGAGCGACTGTGATGAGTGGCTAATATTTATCATTACTATGTTCTGGATTTTGTTTCATTTTTCAGTAAATGCCATTGAAATGCAACCCGAAGAAGATTCTATACTGGAAACATTGTGCCAGATTTTTGAAGGTGTTGTTTTGGATGCAAAGCACTTTCGAGCCCATTGTTGGCTTCCCAGAATGCGCAGAATGTCGGAGGAGAAGTCAATAGAAACAGGCGAACATCTGACAAATTTTGCTGCAAACGAATTAATTAATAAGTATGTATTCATCATTGATGACCCAGATTAAACCGTATGATGAAGAACTGTAGAGTTTGAAGTGTAGTCCTTTTTAAATTTCATTAAGTACTGAAATATTTCCAAAAATATTGGGAAGACTTAAAAGTTTTTTTATACTTGCGTTGGTAAGTATTTGGTAGCTAAGTGTTATTTTTTCCTTTTTTTTTGAAAAAAAACTTTATATTTGTCAGAATTTTAATTCAAATCAAATCAGTTTTAAATTCATCATCACAACAGTTCCATTTGATCACAGAAGTAAATTCAAATTTAAACTCAATTTAAATTCACTTTTTTTTTCAAATCAAAGAACTGTTATGGTTTGTTGGTACTTGAATTGGATGTTCATATTTTTATCAGTTTTTTCTTCATGCACATGTTTTTTTTTTTTCGCAGAAAAAAGTTGGATAGTATGTATGAGGAACTGATTGTTAAACGAGGTGAAATGGATGAAAGGATGTTTTTACCTGCAGATATTTCTGTCGTGTTCGATGAAGCGTATGATGGTATGCAAGTTTAAAAAAAAAAAAAAAAAAAAAAACGAAGTACTAGTTTTGCATTGTAATTGAAATTAAAAGAGTAGAAAAAAGCTTTGAATAGTTTTCCTGATATACATGGCTTTATTTAGTTCTTTATTATCCACTACTTTCTGAGATTCATCGTGATTTTATCACGAGAAAAAAATTTATGAAGTTAAGGTATTTTTTTTTTGGATTACGATATTTTTTCTCGCTTTGGAACCGACAAAAGTTTTTGTTCTTTTTTTTCCAAAGCTATCTCAGTACGGCTAATTAAGCTTGTCTATCAGTGACAAAGTACATCTACACTTTATTTGGATGGCACTCTCCCTAAGCAAATCCATAACGTTTAAAACTTCTAGAAAATTGAATTTCTACGGATCGTTGACTGTATACATTTGCATGTTGTACATAGGTTAGACTTTATGGTTGGTTAGTAAATTTATGCCAGGTCAGTACTTTGGATATTTAAGCCGCACATCGATATAAAATATTGACCGACTAGGTATAATTTGTAGTGGTCGTGAAAGAAATGGTTTTTTTTTCTCTTGTAATTTTAATCTTAAATCTTAATGTCAAATTTCATTCTGCGCTGAAGTGGACCGCTATTTCAGAATGTGCAGTGCAACGCCTTCGACATTCAGAAGATGGTGACAGCCTTGTTGATGCGGACATGTTGTTGCGTTTGAGTACTCAAAGTTGTTTGGAACGACTTCAGGATCAAAGGCAACAAAGGACACCGTTGACTGGTCGAGGGTACGTCATATCCGCGGAACAGGTACCTCGATTTTCTTTTTCTTCCCTTTTGCTCAGATATTATTCAGGATAAAGTTGGACAAAACTGAATCACAAATTTTGCTTGGGTTTTCACTAATATGCTGCTTCGAGTAATCTGAAATAACCGTTCACATAGGGAATTATTTCAACATGACAGAATCTGTGCTTTGTGCATCTGAAATAAGCGTTTGCATTGATGGATTGACCTGAAATAGATTTTTACGTACGAATTGTGATTTGAGACTTATATTTACGGATGATGATGGTTAGCCAAGATCAGGGGGAAGTTTTTCAGTCAGCCTTTGTTTCCATTCACTTAAATAGACATCTCTTTTAAATATGATAAAATACATTACTCGATTCATTTGTTGTTGCAATATTTATGACTGGAGCAGGTTTACTTTACTTTTCATATTTGCATGTTGTATTGTTGTATTGTTCGGTTTTATTGGTTTTCAGTATTGTCCTGCTACACCGGTTTCCGCTTCACTTTATAATGCGTCGAGACTGGAAGTGTTACTCCAAGACAGTTGGAGGAGATTGGATGCCGAAGTAGAGAGCATTTTGTGCCACAGCTGCCAGGATCCATTTGGGAAAATTATGAATATTGGTAAATATATCATTTTTCCTTAATTCCTTAAGTTTTGTAGTGGGCTGAAACCACTTTATTGACTAATTTTTCGAAACAACAGACAAAAAAGATACTGTGAAATATTTGAATTGGTTAAAATCAATAAGTTTCAAGAGTTATTTTAAATATACAAGTTTCATTATGAAGACAAATTTAAATGTTTATTTCAGTGTCTCAACTAAGTGAGCGTTTGGAGGAGGTGATAGAAAATGAAAGACAGTTAGATGGAGCTGACTACGACGCGTCATTTCGCGAAATGTTTGCAATTCGAAAGAACAATACAGAATGTTTATTTTCCGTTTCCTGCATAAAATAGCTCTTTCAGAAAAGGATCGTTTGGGAAGTGGAAGTATTGTAAAGCTAAGTGTGAGTTTCCTATCTTGTCTAGATAAGTTTGATGGAAATTATAAGCTTGACAAAGTTCATTTTTATTGAAGTTTTATTCTCTGATTGTCTAAGATAACTTAGTCTTTTCTCTAATCTTTTAGTTTGAAGTTATCTTTTAAGATAAGTAACTGTTGTAACTGGAACAAAAAGCTGCAGCAAAGTTTTTATTGTGTGAAGTATTTTACTGTTTATTTTATCTCTTTCATCTCTGAATATGTTTATGTTTGTTATCTGTAAAATATAGTTCTAGACTTAACTAAACCGAATTCAATTTTTAATAAAGCTGATTGATTTCTCAGATTTCAGGTTGATTGGACTTGCTTTTCTCATTATAGCTTTTCTTTTCTTTTCTCATTACATTCCTGATTATAGGCTGTATTGCTCAGAGAGGATTTCTTGAAAGCGTTGTACGTCTGTTCTTTGCAACTAGTTCTTTTTACATATGAAAGTGTACGCGAATTTCCGTGGAGTTTGGAAACTATGCATCTGCCTGCGATACATTTTTACAAAGTTATTGAGCTAATTATCCGAGCCGACTCTTCTTTGTCGCGTGAAATGGTTAAGCATCTCAATAAGGTATACATTTTATCATGATTATCATATACTAAAAATTTTTTATGGGTTTCTCCATAAAGAATGTAAAAACACCTTTTTATAAGCAGTTGCTCCCAAAATATTCAGTGTTACAGGTCAAAGGTGTACTTTATATATTACTTTAGCTGGGTTGATACTGTGAAATTCATTATCCAATTTTATTTCTTTGAAGCTTAGTCTGTGTTTTGACTAATTCAGGAGTATTTCTACAGTCGAACATCTTTTACTGGAGAAC